CACAAAACTAATGTTACATAATGGTTAATAACGGGACAATTTTGTAATAATCATAGTGATAATATAGTCGGACCCAGGAGATATACAAAAGAAGGAATAGAATAAAGAATAAAAATGTAAGCCAATGATAATAATTTTAAGCAGCTAAGTATGTTTAAGAAGGTTGTTCACTATAGAGTACAAATAAGAGAGTATAAGGGGGAAATAACAAGGGCCAAAATTATGTTATTAACAACAAAGCAAGTCATAGGTTTCACGCTTCACATTGTCTCTGTCACTTAGAACACGGGCTGGCCAAATATGGTATCGTTGAGTTCCTATACTTGGTTGTACGAGCATATATTATTTTGTACTGATTTCTGGTTCTACCTGATGAGATGCAGGGAGAGAGTTGGGAATAGAGGGGGTGTTGGGGGTCAGAGAGTATGGTTTTAGACCATTTCTCACATGTATTCAGATGCTTATCCACTAATGTTGTGACGAGCTGACTGAGTTTTACACCGCTAGTCCTACTAACTACCTTCAACATCCTTCTTAGGATGGTATAATCCTTTTTCAGTAACCCAGGAAAGACTAACGGGGAACAGTAAAGTAGAATAGGTAGGATACGAGAGTTGACAAATTGTGAAAGCAGAGGTTGAGTGACTCCAGTTAGTCTGAGTTTCTTAATGTAGTAGGTTAGACGAAACACTTTCTTGGAAATCATTTGGATATGAGATGACCAAGTAAGGTCGGAAGATATAACTAATCCGAGGTATTTTGCATTAGACTTAGTTTCAATTATAGTCCCCTCAATTTCTTTTGTATACATAGAGTGGGTTTATACTTTTGGATCGCCTCAACCATGCCCAGACGCTTTGATCTAACTTCATTTGAAGGATTTGATTGGATCTGGTATTAGACTTTGAAAGACTTTTTAAAATGGAGCTGAACGTCTTGAGTTCACTAAATGTTCTTTTACAGAAATATATGCACCCTTGCATTTTGTCTACGCTAACCGTACTGCATAGTTTTCCCGACTGCGTTTTTTTACAAGCGGAAGCATGGTATGCCCAATTTACTCAGCTGAGAATGAGTAAGTGGGCCGTTGTATGCCTTCCGAAATGTCCCAGAGCGATAACGTGTCTTACACATGCTGGTTGAGTAGTTTCTGACAAGAAAAATGTCAATCATCCAAACATAAGAAATTTCCTCAGTACTCTGTAGGTGAGTTTGAAATTGATTTGCAAGTTTCCTTGATATCTAGAATTGACTAGATGTTGGAGGATAGAACTTTAGGAGGATCTATGTTATTTTCCTGTAAAACCATGTAGGTAAGTGTTTGACAGTAGATTTGGATAATAAATGTTGAATATCGGCCGGTATACCTCACTCTACAATGAACAGATGAATTGATGGAGATACAATATTGAGTAGGTGATATGTATCCATATAATATGTGTGTTTTGTTTGACAGTCTGATCTTGGTGACATGTATCCATATGAATTGTGTGTCTGTTGACATGTTTGCTATATTTTGCTATGTATATATGGAATGGTACTCCATTATAATTAACCAGTCATGTTAAGACTGTCTATTGTTTTGTTCACTCACTTGTTTGGACATTCATATATATTTTTGCTCGCACACTCTTGTGTGGCATTGATTCTCCTGTTGTTTTGGACAATAGAAGTATCATCGCAAACCTAGTGGTCTTCTGATTTCCGTCTTCCCTGCGTCAGGACTATTAAATTCTCGACCAGTACATAATAATAATTTGGCGACGAGTACATAACAGTAGACAAGCAGCGGTTGTTCTTTCTTTACGTTCATTTAAGTCACTAGTTTTTTTCCATAAGAGTGAGTTCGAATTTGATTGTCTAGATGGTTTGTGGTGAGAGCTGTCTGCTAGCTAAATTACTAGACAGTAATTTACATCCCAAAATCAGGGTCATGAGAAAAAACAACAACAACAATGCTTAACCTTGGAGAACCCAACAACCAATCACAGAAGAATTAGTGTGGGCGGATACGAATCGCCGATATATGGCTTAACTTTCTAAGAAACGGTCACAAGCAGTACAGAATAACCTACAGTGAGAAAACAACCAATCGGAGGGCGTAGCTTCGCTTGTAACAATAACGAATAATTATGTACATAAAAATCTATTAATATCTGTTGATTTTCTCAATAAACAAAGGTTGAATTCATGTGTTCTACTTGGAACACAAGCAGTGACGAAACTGTTATCATATAACTAATAAACAAAATTAAAAGAATTCCTGGAATTTACATCCACCTCACCAAATCTGTTCATTTTATTATACCCTTATAACCTTCACTGTAATCAACATTGATGCTCATCAGTCCGTGGATCATATATATATATATATCACTAGCTCTTAAAATTGTGCTCAAGGCACACCTCTACTGTACTTCCTTCTGTGGCATTACTTCCAACTGGCATTACACGCTACCAGAATATTTCACTTCCGCCTCACTTTACCACCTGCATTTTAAACTCGAAAGCCTAACTTGTTGCTTCATTGGCGATTGATATCACGCGTAGCTATCCTCCGACTATATCCAATCCATCTCCACTTTCTTCTGCATACTTAGCGGGTAACAGGTTATGTGATGGATTACTGTCAGCTTCCCCAGTTGACTGCTTATCCTTTCTGGTCAGTCATTTGAAGGGAGCAGCTGTGGATGATGCTTCTTGTGACGTTTCCGTCAACTGACCTTTGGGTTCCCGAAGGAACCTAGGACTTCAACAACACTTCCCCATGTCACTGTGTTCTCTCTAGTCTGCTTTAGCTGGTTCCATAATCTTCATACGATCTCCTCCCTGTCATCCTCCGACTTTAACATAACTCATAAGCCACTTCTTATTCAGGATTCTTTGGTGTATGGTGTCGCTGAACAGGAGTCTCCTAAGCATGGATGTACAATTTATCCATCTCCATTTTGAAAAAGAGATGGAAACCGAATTTGTTACATGAAATTATGTCATATTCGATTTCACAGGTTTTCATCAGCTGCAAACTACTTGAAATTACAACAACATAATTCATTGGCTGAATCGTAGCCGAGAAAAAATGTTGAAAAACGTAAGTATTGCAATTCTCCGTTTAAGCTGTCATCAAAGGTAGAGCGAGAGAGAAGACAGACAAGAGAATAATTCAATAAACAGTGTTAGGTGGCAGGCTCACATGGCAACCCAAGAAGGTTATTGTACATAAGATTACAACCTTGCTCAGTGAGATGGAAGCAATAATGGTGATGTCTTATTTATGTAATCAAAATACAGTTACCAAGAGAGTGAGGGAGAGATTGATTACATGCTCTTTCTTGATGAATAAGCTTGGTATGGGAGATTTGGCTGAAATTGCTTCAGATCGTGGGAAAATACCTATAAGGGTATTAGAAAGAAGAGAAGTTCAGCAAACAGATATCTGTCTTTTCGGCGATTTTATTTTCAAAAGCAGCTCTATAAGCGCATTTAAATACGTAATTTTACATAGATACAAAGAGGACAAACTCTCGCATATAGATGATTCAGTGTGTATTTACCAGTTCACCTGCTCGTGCGGAGCTAGGTACATTGGTCGTTCAATGCGCGTCATTTCAAAACGTGTTAGAGAACATCACCCAGCTTGGGTGCAAAGAGGAAGTAACGGTTCAATCATAAGTGTGTCGTTAATGAACATCTGATCAACACATCCCACAACATCTCAACTGATTCTTTCAAAATGATTTACAAAGTCAGAAGAAACCGACAAAAAGCAGTATGTTTCCGACTTCTTTGTACTAGCACAGAAGCCCTCGCAATATGCACCGAAAACCCGGAGCCGTGTATTATTATTATTATTTTATCCTTTAATTCCTAAAGGAACATAGGGCTTCAGCTGCCCACCTCCATTGCCTTCGGTTCTCTGCTGGAGTTTTCACCCTGCTCCAAGTCTGTCCACATGCTTTCATCTCCTATTCTCTTCATGACCTCCTCCAAGTCACCCTCACACTGACGACTAACTCGCCGCCCGCTTCCCTTTCGGGTTCCACTCGAGCGATGGCTTGTCTAGTGATGTCACTTGATGGTCCGTTTTCTCAGAATATGGCCAATCCACCTCCATTTCTTCCTGCCTATTTGTTTCACAATCGGTTCCTGCTGTTTTGGTTCTCTCATTGCCAGAGATCCCTGTTGCTTATCTTTTCTGGCCGGCTATCTGATCTTGAGTAGTATTGAGGGAAAACAGCTGCTAATGAAGGTCTGTAGTTTGTTTGAGATGCTCTTTATGACGCGCTGGTCAAGTCTCTGATCCATCCGTATAGTGAGTAGCACTGACTTCACATTCGAGTTGAAAATCCGGATCTTATTTTCAATTTCATGCTGAGTACTGTTGACCTCCACACAGACTTAAGGGTAATGAAAGCTTGTCTTGTTTTTCCGATTCTGGCTTTGATATCCTCGTCAGTTCCGCCTGTAGTTGAAACGATTCTTCCCAGGTAGGTAGGTGAAGGAGGCTGTTTCTTTCAGGTTCCTCCTATTTGTGCTGATTGTTGTCCGTTGTTGTTGTTGCTATTGATGGTGTTGGCCAGGAATCTTCATCACCGCTGTTTAAGCTATGTTCACTTGAAGTCCTATCTTCTCTGGATGCTTCTTCTGCCAGCTTGTTGCCTTTCACTTGCATATCTTCCAGTTTGTGGAAATCAGACATATATCATCGGCAAAACATAACTTCTTTCCACATATCTGTTGTGTGCTTGGATCTTCACAATATTCAATAATAATTAATGATGTGATAAAGTGATTGTTTTAGGTTAGTTGAATAAAATAATTAAAATTTGTGATCTAAATTATCTTTGATTGAGATAAACAACTTTGTAAACATTGCACCTAACAATTCTTCCTTCCAGCATAACTGAAAGATGAATGACTTATCGATCGATATATACTGAAGAATATCGATTATTTAGGCCATCTTATTCTTTTTAAAACTACTTTATTCGTTCGTTGTATGTTTGTGTATATGATGTGTATTGCTATCAGATAAATGGTAGAATATTCGAGGTCCTTAAAAAATTGTGTGTATTAGAGTTTTCTTGACCGTAAAGTCAAACAAAATATTATGGTTATGCAGTAAACAAATAGACTCATAAATTGGAATTAATCTTTTACAAATTAGTTGACGTTACTTTCCCTCTAATTCTTCTTTATGCCCATTTGAGCGATCAAGTTTAAATAGACCGCGCAAAATCGATTTTCGAAAAAAATATCATGGAATTAATACATTCAAACAAAGAGAATGCTCATCAATATTCTCCAAATGAAAATTGTAACAATGATATAATTGATACAGAAAAAGATGTAAATATTGTAATAAGACTAGGTGAAGAGTTACAACGACGTATTGGTATATTACCTAAAGTGGAAAATTACACTATAATGTTACCAAATGTTCCAGGGAAATTAATACAAATGTTATGCGTAAAACCGAAATCTTATACAGAAATATCACGAACGGTGAGAGCGGCAAGAACAATGAAATTGACGGTGCGTGCTTGTGGTGAACAGTCGGCTTATAATTTATTTGTCTATGGGAACAGTGGAACTGTACTAATCGATTGTACTCAGTTAGCTGATTCACCCAGGCTTGAATTTGTTACTATAAAACGTAAAGATACTACCACTACTACGATGGAAAAAGAATTAAATGGATTAAAAATTTTATCATGTGTTACAATACAGGAGTTAATTGACTATCAAATTAGTCATAATATTGAAATTAGTCAAACTATTGAAACATGTTCAATATGGGGTACAGTTGTCGGTGCATTGACGTCTACTCAACCAGGTTTAGTTGGACCTGGAGGTAATGCATTAGGTGGTTGTTTAACCGATGAAGTGATAGCTATCCGTATTGTTGATTGTCATGGAGATTTAATTGAATACACGGATGAGAATGCTGTGAAAGCAGCTGTATCAAATTTAGGCCTTTTAGGCGTTGTATATGATGTAACTCTACGATATAGTTCAATTACATTGTCAAAAGTAAGTGGAATTTTATTGATTACATTGTTAATAATGATATTATTGTACACCGTGTTTGTATAATGTGCAGAATATTCAGCCTAGCTTATTGCATGATTTTTTCACTTCTTCCAGGGTCTTGTAAGTGCCGATGTCAACTTCTAAAGAGGCCTTAACGTCAGCAACTACTAAACCCTGATCATTACACTGCCTACCGTATATGCACTGATGAATGAAGTCCATGGAAAAGGTTTATGCACTGTTGTGATATGAATTATAGTTGTATAACAATTGAAAAATCAAAACTAATACGTAGCAATGGTGTACAACTTTTCTGTTGACAGTCTGGGTTAGCAAGCTCGAGGAGTGTGCCTAATGATTGCACATCGAGGGAACGAACCACGATCGAGAGGTCAAGCCGGAAAAATAAAGATGGTGTGGCGCCATAGTACATAAATGTGTTAGAACAGAATTTTAAACATACAAGGTGCACTATAATCTTAAAATAAAAGATTCATGGAAGACAGTAGATCCTGTGATATGGTTCTGTCTGACCTGAAACGCTGCAAATCAGTCCATTATGTGATACGTCTTCTTCCTCTCTTCCTTCAAGAAATACACGACGACATTTGGTTGAATGTCAGCCATAGGAAATTGAGGAGTACAATTTGTGAATCAAGGACACTACTCAGAAACAGTTAGTTATCTCGTGTATTGAGATAAGTTTCCATCGAGGATAACGCTGTTTCCCAAGTTTATTACACACTTGCGAACATTTTAAATACGCGCCAGAATAAATAATACTTTAGAAGTCATATTTTACCAGATTGAAACAAACTGAATTAGAGGAATCCCACGCACTATATTTGTGTAGGTTATTTTCGGTGGCTCAATTTTTAAGAAGGCCACCGAGTTTGTTTTAAATGATTACATTTTTGTTAAATTGATATAATTTATTAATTAAAAAGACAATTGCAGCGAAGAAAATTTTCTTTTCCACGAAGTCATCATCTAGGCTGTACCTAAGTGTATTTATATCAAATGGATGGGAAAGTTCCAGAATAATTTCCGGTTAAGGGTCAAATTAATAAAAATTACAATTAGGAATTAGAATGCCATAATAAACACCGGGAGGAGGGCGGGTAAAACCCAAACAAGGTAGCATCATAATTATTGGGAAGATTTACATAGTGTGCAATGAGGGGTTAGAAATGTAGAAATAACATTCCCTTCCATCTGTTTATTATGGCATTCTAATTCCTAATTGTAATTTTTATTAATTTGACCCTTAACCGGAAATTATTCTGGAACTTTCCCATCCATTTGATATAAATACACTTAGGTACAGCCTAGATGATGACTTCATCGAAAAGAAAATTTTCTTCGCTGCAATTGTCTTTTTAATAACTCTTATGACCCAATGTGTATATTCCGTAATTTATTAATTCCCAAGGTAACATAAAGAACACAATATTCAATGGAAAGACTTCCTAACGAGTATTTTACCATTCTCTGCATATATATACATATATATATATATAATTTTTAAGAAACTATATATTGTGAGGAAATTAACCCAAGCGGTATGAACACTTATGATTATAATAACGCGAAATGCGATAAAATGCTTGTGATTATAATCATATTTCTAATATCAAATGTTCTTGTGAAATAGTAGATATGACTGTGATATGTTTCGATGTCTAAAGAACTGACTTGGTACCATGATGGTGTGTATGGCCTAGACTAACTGAGTGGTTACAGCATAGAACTTTAAACAGATGTACAGCAGTTCCAGTCGCCACACTCCACTCCATGTAGCACACAAAGCAAGTGAAGGAAGTAGAAAGAAACGCAAAACGGAGACAGTAAACAAAGATATGAGGCAGAAGGAGTAGTAATATCAGAGAAAAATATACTTTTATTTGAAATAATAAGTCACAAGGAGTCAGTACATTTGCGCCAGCCATTGAGAACTATCACTTTGATCCATATCACCAGTTGTCTCCAGCCATCACCGGTGTTTACCGTCATGAGGACCCCAACCAGTCAGGTAGACAGTCTACACCTTCCTACGTGGCTTAAACTACCTGTTGTGAATTTCATTGACTAATTAGACCATGTTTTGGTCTAACCACCACTAGCTCTGTCCTATCCAACCTGATCAATCCTGTATCAGCCAGCTAAAATTGCCCATTGTCGAGGAAGGTGAAGGCTGGGCATGCATACGTAACATATGTCCTACACATCTCAGCCGATGTAGCTTCACAGCCTCGTCTATTGATTATCCCTCCTTACCTGACACTCGACCGAAGTCTAACCTCAATATTGCTCACCCTACCATACCATTTCACATGGGTGATAGGACGTAGTAAACTAGGATTAAAGACAGCTAGTCGGCCTTATCATGTCTTCCATATTCAATGATCTGGAGCTTTTCCTGGTGAATACCCTGACCAAATGCATAGCCTTCCGAATATATGTTGAGCGAAAATCTTAATGTGTTTGATGCCCGTTTCTCACATGTTAAATGTAAAACGAATCCACAGGACTAGTTGTTGGATTAAGTTAGATTCTTAATTTAAGGATAAGAATTGAAATAGGTGAATATGTTGGCTACTTCACTTATTCAAGAAGCTGTAACCACTTTGATAAGCTGACTTTCAATAAATTCACACTGTCAATAAGAATTGTGTCTATTTTTGATTTTGAGTGTTACGCATCTATCCCCTAGGTGATATATGTACTGTACAACACTAGGCTCTATCCTACTTAGTGTCTATGAGACATTTAGTCTACCAAATATGAAAAAAGCTGAACGTTTAATTCATCACTTTAACCAACCTAAGAAGTCTTCATGATGTCAAGTGTAGAGCATTAGGTAGTCTTATCAAGTAAGGTGATTAGGACATGTGTTATGCACGCGAAATCACCATTTTCCACTATAAGAAGTGTTAACAGGTAAATATCGATTATCTGGTTGGAGTCATTTAAAATATCAAGATTTCCAACAGGTTACAGACTTTTATCAACAGCTGCCTCCTTCAAATGGCCAGACAGAAAGAATTAATGTGAAGAAACTTTGGGAACAAAACGAACGAAGAGCTGATTGCTCAATACATATTCAGGAGAAAATTGAAATGGATTCATCGGGCATAAGTTGAGGAGGTGGTCGAGTGGAATCGGGATGGGAAGCGACGAGTGAGTCGCGGGTGTGATAAACACTTGGAGGAGATCGTGTGTCAAGGAGGCGAAGAGAATGACAGATTATGGGCAATCATGGACCCAGCCAACTGAAGAAGACAGCGAGAAAAAGAAGAAACTGGAATTTTTTTTGTTGAAGCCGTATGTTCCACTTCGAATCTAAGGTAACAATAATAATAATAGATACAAAGAACTACACCTCATAAATCTGTTTTTCGTCATACAGATGTTTGTCACTAGCGTAACACATCTTACTGGAATAGGCTTAGATATACTGTCAAAAAGTTGTCTTTCTGACGTACATTATTATTATTATTCCCTTGCATTCCGAGTGGAACATACGGCTGGCTTCACCAACACATCTATACTTTGTTCCATTTTCTGCCCTCCTCTTCAGCTGGGTCCACGATTGACCAAACTCTCTCATTCCTTCGTCACACGATCTCCTTCATGTCACTCTAGGACGACCTACTTGTCGCTTCCCATTGGGATTCCACTCGAGCAACGGCCTGGAGTGCGATGTCATTCTGCGACCTGCTCAATGGATGCCTGACTCGTGTTGGTGTTGAAAATGTTAATCTCGTTCCTTATTCTGAGTCAGTGCAGAAAAATTCAAAACTGGTTTCATGTTGACGAGGGTGTATTTTAACTTTCTGATTCTGAATTTGACATCTTCGTCCGTTCCGCTTGTGTAACTGAGACGATGCTTCCCAGCTAAAGGAAGGAGTCAGGCCTCTGTTAAATCTCTCCCATTGATGGTGATTATTACAAGTAAACCGGTATATGCAGTTAGAGGTAATATGAAAGGGGAGTTTACGAAACTTAGGTTACTCAAATGAGAACAATTGGTTTGGTAAACTGACATGAGCTTCAAAGTTGGATAATTCCTCTTGACTGTAGCATTTATTCTGTACTCCACGTTTTCTGAAAATATTGGTATCTTGTCAACCCCGCTGAATTTCCCATTTATTATTATGTTCTCTCTTGCATTTATCCACTTATTTTTGAGGATATCCGTTGTAATATTAAGCACTTTACATCAATAAATCCTCCAGAGTGATAGGATTCCGATATAGTTCATTTCTATGTTCTCCACGATGAATATACCATTTATATATTTCCATTCATAATTTGTAGAAAACTCAAGATTCGTATAAAAATTGTGATGGACAGTAGTAACAAGGATACGACTGAGGTCATAATGAAGTGATTTACAAAGAAACTGTGCTAACTTTCGAGCAAAACGGGCCTAGTAGACATTTCAGCCAGGACTGATGGAAGTTTGAAAAGTTCTCACCGATCTTATGTGTCAATAAAACTAGTGCAACAACGGAACTTGATAAACTGTACATTAGATAAACTAAATTGTTTTGTTTTAATGGCTCCACAGAATCCTTTAACCGACACACCTTGTTTCTAATTCAGTTTGTGGGGGATTTAAATGCTAGCCACTTTTATTCCTGCCCTGTTAAGAATTATGCGTAAGGTGGTTTCCGAGGTTCCTTCCCTGTATGGAATTACTAGTGATGATTTAGATTCCTTATTGTTGGTGTTGTCTTGCTCGTATTTGACATGTATGTAGAGAAAGACGTGTACATCAAGCTATCCTATGTGGGGCATCATAGCAACTTGATAACTAGACAAAGACTTAAACCTGCTGTTAAAAAGACTTTTTATGCAGTTAATATTATAATAATTGGGAATGTGAAGCCAATATATCCATCCATCTAAGCCCTTTGAACATGAGAAAAATGATGTCACATCCCACTGTATTTACTAATTTGAATGTACGCGTGGACACACATACATATAGAAGA